GTTTACAAATTATATTGCTTGGGAAGTGTAAATAATATGACCATGATTACCTGACATTGGGGCACTTTTAGAATCTACTTTATGTTGTCATTAAAAAGTCAGTTTTAAAATACATATTAAGAAGTAAACTACAACCATCAATACAGTAAGACTAAAATGTTTCCCCCCTAACCTTCCTCATAGCAAAATCATCCAAAACTTCATGAATATTTGTTTGTCTAAGTTGGTCACTTTCAGTGTACAGAATGCTCAGTGCGGACAACCTCTCTTGAGACACTGTGGCCCTTAGTTCATTTTTAATTCTTTTGAGTCTTGAAAAACTCCTCTCCCCTGAGCAGTTAGTGACCATAAGGCTAAGAAATAGCTGCAAGATTACTTCCACATTAGGAAAGGCCATATGAATTTTGTCCTTGTATATAATTTGATAAAGGTCTGTATGAGACAGAGAGTGCTCTGCTGTAAGCCTATGGCTTTGTCTCATGTACAGGTGAAAGCGCAGAAGTTCATCAAGAAGTTTCAGGCCAGTATCTTTTGGGTATGTTTCCATCAACAGTTCAACACCTTGCTGAATTTCTTCCTTAGATGCTGTCAGATTAGCAAGAATGGAAAACAATTGTGCAGCATCACTGTACACAGTACTTCTTCTTTTTAAATTGGCTTCAAGTGCATCTAATATAGGAATAAAGGATTTTATCCTAAACTTATCTCTTGAAGAAAGTGCATCTAAGGCATCAGGTGCACTTCTGTCATTTATCTGCTGTTCCCTCACTCTTTGTCTCATTGTTTTGTAGTTGACATTTGGCAAGGTGGCTTTTGCTTGTTCTCAAGCTCATCAAAATCAACTCTAATTTTCCTTTTAAAATCCAGAAGTGAACTGTATAAACTTGCACGAGAACTCAATAACAGGTCTGATTTCTGAAGGGCTTTGCTGACCTTGTGAAAATGACCTAGTACACGATCCAAAAATGCAGCGTAAACACAGATTCCAGTTCTTACATTTTCTGCAAAAGAAAGCTTGGGGCCTGGTCTCCCCCTTCCCATTAACATCAGAGTCAGTATGAGGTCCAGTTACCAACCTGTAGCCTGGCCTCCTGCCTTCTACAGGTAGTTCTGGATCCCTCCGTAGATCCCTTCCCACTGCTGCCTTCCCTGATCCCAAAGGCCTCTCTCTGCCTGGGGGCAATCTGCAGCGCATGCTGCAGGCACCAACAGGGCTCTGTGAAGTGTAAAAGATAGGCTTCTCTGCCTGGGAGGGATGAGGCCAGTGCCAGTCACATGTGCCTGCCTTGCTCTGTTCAAGCGAAGGAGGAGGGAAGGAATGGAAGGGACTTGGGAGAGCTTGCTTGCCTGGTCTATCTGCCCCATGCGGCCCCCCACTCACACTCTCCCACTGATTAAAGTGCAGTATGTCCCACTACTGACCTGACCCTTGAGCTGGGGAAGGCTGTGCAGCTGGTTGTTGACTCTGGGCCTGCTGGCTCTGGATTCTGAGATGGAAAATTCTGGGGTGTGAGGATACTCATCAGGGCGGTTAGCAGAAGAAGGAAGTTCCAGCCAAATACAGGAGCAAAACAGTGGTCAGTAGACCACAAACTTTATTATTGCACAACAGGTCTCCACACAGAGTAAGAACCCTGAACATGGGTTACAAGCTCTTTGAAGACCTTCCCTCCCTACCCAGAATACATTTCCAGAACCATCATTCATACATCGCTGACACATCAACATGATGTCACAAGGAGGGAGGGGAGTCGTGAGGTTGCCCAAGTTCATCAACTTGCCTCAGTTCTCACATCAAGTTCTTAACACCTTAAGTTCCCGCCACCTAAATAACAATAAAACTCTCTATAACAATAAAATTATCTGGCCTTCCTGAGGATGGGCTATGGGAACACCTGGCCTCAGGAAACCCATCAACAGATGTTCATTGTTCCCCTCAAGGGAGGGGTGCTCTGTACTTGACTGTATATCCCAAGGATTATGGAGGAGGGTGGTATCCAAGTTGAGTACGTGACCTCTCCCTTCGAGGATTATGGAGGAAGATGATGTCCAAGTCCGCCTTTCCTTTTGAAGCAAAATGTCATTGAAATAGGAGAATTGGTTATGGCATTGATTTTATGTGATTTTCAAAGGTTAGGAGTCCAGCATGGTCAAGTACAAAGGGATACAATTCTGACACTTCCTTGCAACAATGCAACAAGTTTTGCCAATAGAAACCAGAAGGGATACAATTTGCCAGCCTTCTCCATTAACAGTGCAAAGGCTGGGGTTTTGAGGGAGGAGAGGTGTTGAGCGGTGACAAAAATGATTTCCAATAAGTGCCCCCCTTTATTTCCCCCCTTTTATTTCCATAACAAGTCATTGAGTCTGTACTTTGAATAGTGACACCAGGGACCCAGAAGTGGCAGCGCTTGTCAGCCCAACCCCTGCACAGCCTCATCTGGGCTGGCCTTAAGGCAATTGGAGCAATTGGGCCAAATTGGGCCCTGTAGACTGCTCCGAAAGGCCCCCCGCACCAGGGCAATCTAGATGGATTGTATTTATATCTCTAAGATTCCAAGTTGGGACCCAGAGCTTCAAATTGGACCCCACTGGCTAGCCCTGAGTCTCATAGTTGCTGGGCCCAAGTTGCCCTGACCTCGCATGAAGTCTTGGGTTTGCAATTTTGGGAGAGAGGAGACTACAGCACTGGGGAGTGGGCTGGCTGGGGAGGTCCCCTAGATTTAGAGGCCCAAGTTGCCCTGCCCTCGCATGAATCTTGGGTTTCCAATTTTGGAGAGTGAAGACTGGGGAGCTGGGGAGCGGGCTGGCTGGCGAGGTCCCCTAAATTTAATAATACTAATACTAATAATACTAATACTAATACTAATAATAATAATAATTTTTATTTATACCCCGCCCTCCCCAGCCAAGGCCGGGCTCAGGGCGGCTAACAAGCAATAATAAAAACAAGTTGAATGATTACAACTTAAAAACAAAATTAAAATACATCAAAATATTGAAACATCAAAATATTAAAATGTAGCCTCATCGCAGGAGGAGAAAGGAAAAGAAAAAAGAAAGAGAGGGAGGGAATCAAATTGGCTCCAAGCCGAAGGCCAGGCAGAACAACTCTGTCTTACAGGCCCTGCGGAAAGAAATTAGATCCTGCAGGGCCCTGGTCTCATGAGGCAGAGCGTTCCACCAGGCCGGAGCCAGAGTTGAAAAGGCCTTGGCTCTGGTTGAAGCTAATCTAACTTCCTTAGGGCCCGGGACCACTAGGGTGTTGCTATCTATGGACCTTGAGGCTCTCCGTGGGGCATACCAGGAAAGGCGGTCCCGTAGGTATGAGGGTCCTAGGCCGTGAAGGGCTTTAAAGGTCAAAAGCAGCACCTTAAATCTGACCCTGTACTCTACCGGGAGCTAGTGCAGCTGGAAAAGCACTGGGTGAATATGCTCCCATGGCAGAGACCCCATGAGGAGTCTCGCTGCAGCATTCTGTACCCGCTGGAGTTTCTGGGACAGCTTCAAGGGCAGCCCCGCGTACAGCGAATTACAGCAGTCAAGCCTGGAGATGACTGTCACATGTGGCCAGGTCAGGGCGGGAAAGGTAAGGGACCAATTGCTTGATGCGGCAAAGGTGAAAAAATGTCGCCTTGGCTGTTGCTGTAACCTGCGCCTCCATGGAAAGGGAGGCGTCAAGGATTACACCCAAACTCTTAAAGGAAGGCAATGGCACTAACTGGGCCCCCACAAGAGAAGGGAGTTGGTCCCTCATCCCTATGCCATCCCGACCCAGCCATAGGACCTCTGTCTTCGAAGGATTTAGTTTCACTCGGCTCCCACGAAACCATCCAGCCACAGCTTCCAAGCATCTGGTCATTTGGTTCGGGGCCAAGTCGGTGTGGCCATCCATCAGCAGATAGAGCTGAGTGTCATCAGCATATTGGTGACAGCCCAGCCCAAAGCTAATAATCTGGGCAAGGGGCGCATAAAGATGTTAAAAAGCATCGAGGAGAGATTGCGCCCTGCGCCATCCACACACCAAGGAGTGGCGCGACGACATTTCCCTCCCTAGTGCCACCCTTTGTCCCCGACCAGAGATAAAAGAGCACAGCCAGTTATGGGCTATGCCCTGTATCCCCACGTCCGAGGCGGTGGTACAGAAGATCATGATCGACCACGTCAAAGGCTGCTGACAAATCTAAAAGGATCAGCAGTTCTGACCCACCTCGATCCAGTTGTCTACGGAGATCATCTGTTAGGGCAACCAGAGCCGTCTCGGTCCCGAAACCAGGAGGTTTTAGAGGCTTTTATGATTGCCTGGCTTTCAGTTTATTGTTTATTAGAAAATTGCATTTTAATATTAAATTGCATTTTATTCCTTTTTGAATATGGTGGTATAAACATGTTTTACATAAATAGGTAAAATGATCATTAACGTAGTCAATGCAAGTTTTAATCTACTTTTACTTTTACTCTATTGCTATTTTAACTTTTAAAAAGTCTTACACTATTATTGCTGTTAATTATTCCTATTGATTATTTTATTGTTTTATAATTTTCGTAAACCAGTTTCGGGGTTTTTTAATTTAAAAAATGGTGCATAACTTTTATGAAATAAATAATAGTTAATAATTAAGAAACAGCTTGTCTTTTAAAATTGACGCATCCCACTAACCCCTCCCTGTTACCCCTCCCTTTGGGGGCTGCTGAGCGCAAAGTCCTCCCGTCTGGCGCAGAACCCAGAGGCAGGCTGTGCGGGCTGCCTGTCAGTTCGCACGAAGTCCGCCCAACCGGTCTCTGGCGGCCAATCATATCGCAACAGCTTACCCCATTCTCATTTGTCAACGGGAGTCTGACGCGTCCTTCCTACTCCCCCCGTCCCCCCTCCCCTCCGGAACTCCTTTCTCCTCCACTTCCAGTCCAAAAAGTAAAAGTTCGGGTAGGGGCGGAGACTTAGTGAAAGAGGAAGAAGCGCAGGGGACCAATAGCTAGGCAGCGGAAGTTTCCTTCACCCAATCCGGTACTGGCCCGACGCGCGGCCTGGCCTATGGGCGCCGGGCTGCCCGTGAGTGGCTTTTCTGCCTGTCGCTGAAGGAAGGGAGGCCGGTTCAGTCATGGCGGCGTTTCTGAGGGTTCTGGCTCTGGCTTTCTTGGCCGTGCTGGCCGGCTCCGGCGTCGGAGGGCAGAAGAAGAAGGAGGTGAGTGGGGCTGGCTGGAGGAGGGCCGATGCGATCGCGATCCAGGCGCGGAGGAGGAGAGGGAGAGGGGTCACACCGAGGTCATCCAACCGCCCACATTTCTTACTCTCAGGGCCCAACTTACGGAGGCTCGCCAACAACTGTTTGCTAGGCCCGCAGTTATCCTAGGAAGAGCTGTGTGTGTGTGTGTGTGTGTGTGTGATGGACTACAGGGTTGCCGAGCATGTGCAGAGTGCCGCCCCCCCCCGCGCGCCTCAAGCACTTTGCATCGCTTAATCGCCGCTCGTCTCTCCCACTGCAGTCCTGTGGGAGTCTTCGCCCCCCTCAGGCTGCTGCTGCTAAGTTGCCGCCGCAGAGAGTTCCTTGGTGGAGAGATGGATTCATAACAAGGGATGACGATGATGAAGATTATAATGAATGAAAAAGTTGTTGGCTGCGCCTTCAGCTGCTGCCAGTTACACTGCAATAGAATACGTTTCGCCTAATTTATGCACGACCAGGCTGCAGCTATAGGCGCAAGCGAATTAGTGCTGCCAGATTTTAGCAAGAGATACCTAGAAGAGGGCGCGTTTTCCTGTCACGTAAGGTAAACGACGGGCACTGCCTGCGCTGAGGAGGAGGAGGATCCGACGGTTATGACTCTTAAGGTAAAGGTAAAGGTACCCCTGCCCGTACGGGCCAGTCTTGACAGACTCTAGGGTTGTGCGCCCATCTCACTCAAGAGGCCGGGGGCCAGCGCTGTCCGGAGACACTTCCGGGTCACGTGGCCAGCGTGACATCGCTGCTCTGGCGAGCCAGAGCCGCACACGGAAACGCCATTTACCTTCCCGCCAGTAAGCGGTCCCTATTTATCTACTTGCACCCGGGGGTGCTTTCGAACTGCTAGGTTGGCAGGCGCTGGGACCGAACAACGGGAGCGCACCCCGCCGCGGGGATTCGAACCGCCAACCTTTCGATCGGCAAGCCCTAGGCGCTGAGGCTTTTACCCACAGCGCCACCCGCGTAGTCAGGCAGTAAATGGCAGATGATGAGGGAGAGAACTGAGAATGGGGCAGCATCTAAGGGTGCCTTGGCATGTCTATGCAGCCCGTATGTTGTGTGGCCAAGTTCATGGAATCAAAGGCTTGTTGCTGGTTGCATTATCTGAATGCTGTGAACAAGCCTAGTGTACTCCATATAATCTGGACATCTTCCGTGGCCTCTGACCACAGGCTGATGGGAGTTGTAGTCTGCCAACATCTGTAGTCACGAAGTTGCAAGCAGCACTGAGGAAGTGAATATTCACCTTGATTTACCGGTAGCAATGCTAGTTGCTGTAAAGAAATGGTACTGGGAAGGAGATGAAATGATAACATACTGGAAAGGCTAAAGAGAAGACATAAGTATTCCATTCTCGGTCTCCCAACACAGCTTAGGAGCTGGGTCTGATTCTGGGATCATGCAGCTAATACATTATTATTATTTAAATGTCATGCATGGTTGTTCAGATTAAGCTGTAGCAGCTTAGACTCCTAGTAGAAGACTTGTTTAATAGAAACTGTTTTCTTCTTTCCAATTTTATATTTTAGATGGTTCTTTCAGAAAAAGTGAACCAGCTGATGGAATGGGCTAGCAAACGGTCGGTAATTCGACTGAACGGTGATAAATTTCGTCGTCTTATAAAGGCACCACCAAGAAACTACTCTGTGATTGTTATGTTCACTGCGCTTCAGCCTCACAGACAATGTGTTGTGTGCAAGTATGGATTTAAATTACTTGAAATTTCATTATTACAGAAAACCTTGTATGCTTTTTTGTGTCACAGTATTTCTCCTTTGTTTTATCCTTTTTACTTCAAACTTATTCTGTTGTACTCAAGGGAAAAGCACCATGCTAGCATTCAAAAAATCAGGTGTACCAAAAGATTGTTGAAGTAGCAATTAATCATTGTTATATTTTGAAAATAATTCTTTTAGAAATGATATAAAGTCATACACAGGGAGTTGCTTTTTAAGTTAAAAGTACTATACCTGCTTCTTATGAAGAGAATTTGACAGAAAGAATGTCTCTTCAAACAATTCATGTAGGTATTGTGCTTGCTAAACCTTATTCAAGCACCTGATTCACAGACCATCATCTTTAATTGACTTAGCATTTGGCATCAGAGACTTAAATTCTACCTGCGCACCTCTGAAGTGCCAACCGTAACTGGTTTAGCATTTAGCATTAAAGATTTAAATTCTACTTACTCACACCTGGAGTGCCATCTCTTCTCAAATTATAAAAATATTCTCAAAGAAATGCTCATTGACATGAGGGATCCAGCTAAAGACATTATTTATTGGTACTACATTAGCTGAGACTGAGGGATGTGGGTCTTTGAATCCTAGTATATAAAAGGCTTTCTCCAAAGAAAGCAAAATTGCAACTTTGTGGGAACGCCAGGAAGTATATGCATCCCTGTCAGTTCAGATGCTGTTCTTTTGTAGTGGTGAATTGTGGCTGCATGATCATTGCTGCTGTTCAGGTTTCTTCTTACAGCTAGTGTGAAAGTGTGGGCTTACGTTCTTCTGATGGGCTAAATGCTTTTAAATCTTGACATGGTTAAATGCTTGAACAGCACTTTCTTACATTTTTGTAGGCAAGCTGATGAAGAATATCAGATTCTGGCAAACTCATGGCGGTACTCAAGTGCATTCACAAACAGGATCTTTTTTGCCATGGTTGATTTCGATGAAGGCTCTGATGTATTTCAAATGGTAATGTGCTTCTTGCATAGTTATACTTGTGGAGTAGGATTAAGAAAAAGATGTGCATTACTGTTTTGTTTTTAAAAACGGTTTATACTTACTGGGGCATCAGTAACATAAATATACTTAATATTACTCTAATATTTAGGATTGCACATTAAGTAATAACTTGCTTCTTCAGAGCATTTCAAACTAAGTGGAGTGGGAGGGAAGAAATAAGCTTTTCTGGTAACCTGTAGTACAACTACTGGTATTTATGTGAGGCAGTGGAGTTTGCAACATAGACCTATGTGTCTTGGTTCACAAGTTATGCCTAGATAACTTCAGAATCTGAGCTCAATTTCAGAGCATGGATTTTAGGTAGCAGCTCAACAGACAATTTGAGTGACAGTACATTTCTTTGTGTTTCTTAAAAAATACAGCTCAACATGAACTCTGCTCCAACCTTCATTAATTTCCCACCAAAAGGGAAACCGAAAAAAGGTGACACATACGAACTGCAAGTACGAGGTTTTGCTGCTGAACAGCTAGCCCGTTGGGTTGCTGATAGAACTGATGTCAATGTAAGTAAAGGCCAGACTTCAACTTCTATGCAGTGTTTTGCTTCTAACTGTAATACAGTGGTGCCCCGCAAGACGAATGCCTCGCAAGACGGAAAACCCGCTAGACGAAAGGGTTTTCCGTTTTTGAGCTGCTTCGCAAGACGATTTTCTCTATGGGCTTGCTTCACAAGACGAAAACGTCTTGCAAGTCTTGCGATTTTTTTTCGCTTTTTCTAAGCCGCTAATAGCCTTTTAGCCGCTAAGCTGCTAAACCGCTAATAGCGCTAATCCGCTAATAGGGTTGCTTTGCAAGACGAAAAAACCGCTAGACGAAGAGACTTGCGGAACGGATTATTTTCGTCTTGCGAGGCACCACTGTAAAGAAATATATTATTGTTCTGTTGCCACAAATAGCAGGACTGCCACACGAAGAGAACAAGTTCATGAGCACTTGTCCATCTTTTCCACCACATGCATACACTCAATACAATTATTTCTTTTAAACCAGAACAGTTTACTTAATCTTATTTTGGTGCTCTATTAAATCATGTTTTCCATGGTGGATGGAGAAAGGGTCGGTGGGTTGAACTGTTAGATATTTTTATGGAGAGGCAATTTTGTTGTTTCCTGTGTTTCCCAGTTGTCATGAGCATCCTGGTAAAACTGCTAGTGATTGGAGTGGTTTTTAAAAAATACTTCTGGTATATTCTCATGTCACTTTTCAAATTATTTTCAGGGCATTCTAAAATCCAGCAACAACCCTTTGCTATGGTTTTTGTATTATTTTTGCAGCTTAATCCTATCCTTAATCCTATATTATCTGGGAGTAAGGCCACTGTGTTTGGTGGGAATTGTTTCCACATAAGTGTGCATGTAATAAATGCAGCTTTAAATTGTTTAAAGGTTCTTATTAGAGATCTGTGGGCATCTGCACCATTTACCTGTAAGGTAAGATTGACTGCAACTTGGAGCAGGAATACCTCAGTGGTACATCAGTTTGAAATGCTCACTTCATTGTGCTCTAGTATACTCCGTGCTATTTCTGAGGTTTTGTACACAAGATGAAACATTTTCTTTTTAAAGCAGATGTTTCTGTAAGGTGCTTCCTGGCTATAGTTTAATTGTAACCTACTTTGAGGTAGCTTATGAGAACAACAGAGTATAATGTAATTAAAATATTGAAATTATTTGTATACTTCAGTGTTACTTCTCAAAAGCAATTTTCCGTATGGAACACTTTAGATTTTTTTTTAGAAGTTGAAGTAGCTTTGCTGCATTCTCAAAAACTTACCTATCCCTCTAGTAGTAAAACTGTTCAGGAATTATTGGTGCCTATATATTTTTGTACAGAATTCTTCCAGTTTGCTTTAATGTGCAAACTGTTTTTGACTTTCATAGATCCGTGTGATAAGGCCTCCAAACTATGCTGGGCCCTTGATGTTGGGGCTGCTCCTCGCTGTTATTGGTGGCCTTGTGTACTTAAGAAGAAGCAACCTGGATTTTCTGTATAACAAGACAGGCTGGGCTTTTGCTGCTTTGGTAAGCAAATTATGTTGTAACCACTTTGTTTCCTCTTTTCTCCCCAGGATCCCTCTCCCAACCTTCCTCATCACTTGGTCTATTCTTTGCATGCATCTACTGTGATCTGGCTGTATTGTTTTTCAGTTTAAAAAACAGATTGTCATTCTAGTTTTTAGTAACAGTTTCTTTCCCACTGATTCAGATGGAAGGGCTGCTGTATCTTGTCCCCCATTCCTGTCAGCATCTCCCTTGAGCCAGTGCCACCAACTGGACTCATCCACTTCAGCCACGACTGGGCTAGGCAAGCTGGGTAGCGCTTCCTGAAGCCACCTTCTGCACAGGAACAGGTCAAAGTGCTGTGGACTCACAGCTTAGAGTTGTGAGCACCGGATTCACTCCAACAAGAAGACAGTCGTCGCACAGCAGAGTATAGCATAGCATAAACGACTCGGAGAGCAGCTCTGTAGAATATCTTCTTTATTCTATCTACAACTATAATACACAACTATATACAGAGCTAAATGAGGTCTAAACGAAAAATGCTGAACTGCACTGAGTGTCTGCAGCTGCTCTTAGCAGCAGCCTTATCTATACACACGATCTCTCTCTAACACTCAGTCTCTCTTTGATGTGAGGCTGGAGCGAAATAAGTAGAGAGCAGAAAACCACCCCTCCTCTCTGGAGAATCAGCAGATTCTTGGATATGGGAGGGGTGAAATCTCCTCAATTCCAGGGGAGTATTAGCAAACAGGATGGCTTTGGATCCTGAAGATCCACTGCCATTTCTAGAAAATCCCTTCTTGTTCTCTCCAGCGTCAGAGTTCTGATATCAGAGTGATAATGGCTGTGGACCTTTCTGCAGCTTCATAGAGCAGGTATATGAGGTCAGATCTTCTTGTCTGAGGTTGAACCTCTCTGTCCTTTGAGAGGGAAATCAGGAGAATACTATTCTTCCCCCACTCCCACCCCTAAGATTGTGGCAAAATGTTTTTTGTTTGCTTGTTTGTAAATTGTTGTGAGTTTACATTTTAAAGGAAATAAAATAGCTTCATTCCCTTAGTGGGAGCTCTTTTATTTGAGGAAAGATGCAGTTGTGAAATTACTGTTTTCTGTTGGATTAAAAAAAGGGTTTTAATTGCTTTGCTTGGGGCATGTTCAGTATTGGCAGCCACTTGTGGACAGGATGCTCTTGGCTATGTCACATGATTGTGTAATATGCAATCATGATGTGGGCATAAATGAAATATAAACTCGTTTTGAGGATTCAACTAGGACACAGGCTCAGAATATATCTGAAATTTAAAGCTGTGGGGAAATAGTGGAAACAAATTAATGATCAGTATTGTTTGAGGTCACTTAAAAGGTGAGCAATGTTTGAATCAGGGGTGTCTTTCTTGGTGCTTACAAGTTTACTGATTTCTCAACGTGTTGTTTCCAGTGTTTCGTTCTGGCAATGACATCAGGGCAAATGTGGAATCACATCAGAGGGCCACCATATGCTCATAAGAATCCCCATACAGGTCAAGTGGTAAGTGATCATTTAAAAAACAAACAAACATCAAAACTCCAGTATAACTTTTTAAATATGTTAACTTGTCTTTCAGCATATACTCCCCTTCCAAGTTCATTTGTAAAAATCTAAAACACATGAAAATACAACCCCCATCCCATAAAAGCAGCAGCTACTAAGTATTTTTTCATGTGTTAAAGTGTCAAACAACTCAACCACAGACTTCAATTAATGTTTCTCGAGAGGCTTTCTAAGGACCAGCAGAGTGTCTCTCTGGTTCCAAAGAGTTCCAGAGATTCCCACCCTGGGAGAAAGCACTATTCCTTGCACTCACACAATTTAATAGCTCTTGCTTGATGGACCAGAGAGCAGGGCTCCTGCTTGGGCAGGCTCATACAGGTATAGGTGGTCCTTTAGACAACATAGTCACCAACGATTTAGGGTTCTAAAGGCCACAACCAGCTTTGAATTGAGTCCAGAAGCAGAGGGGTTGTCAGTGTAACTGATACAGGATAGGTGTATTCAGAACAGGAGGTACAGAATATGTAACAGATACAGAACAGGAGTATTCAGAATAGGTGATACATTTTTTACTGAATGTGTAGATTATTGTAGCTAGTATACATTTCTCTCCTGAATCTTTTTTTGCCACACTCTGCCTGTTAAAGAGGTCCCTGATTAGGCATATTTCTTCCTTCAATTTATTGTTAAAGGTTCTGTCTTTAATACCTGTAGGCCTCTTAAATGTGAAACTGAGAGTTTCTAGGCTGTGCTAACAGTGAAAATATTGTGGTTATTTTAAGCAACACTTCATTGCTTTCGGATTCTCACAAACTGTTGGTCACAGTAATGCTTCTAAATCTCGCATTTTCAGTTTTAAAAATATATACGTTTTTGCCTCCTATTTACTTTCACTACATACTGTTCAATTCAAAATTTATGTATCCTGTATTTGTTTGTATTCAACTTGGTTTTGCTCAGAGTTGACCCACTGAAATTAAGGAACGTGATTAAATTATGCCCATTAATTTCAATGAGTAAGACTGAGTTCAGTGCCACCCCATGTTTAGTAAAAGTGCAGAAGCACATTGAATTGAGTTTTCTGTTTGAAAACTTGCAAAGGTTTAACATGGGGACCTTCTTTATAAGTCTGCTTTAAACCTTGATCAGGAGAGTTCTGTAGTTATTTTGGCACATGGCTTGCAATCAGAGCTCCTGCATGAAGCAGGATTGCCCTCTGTCTCCCCTGCTTTTTGTGCTGGCCCAGATGTTTAGCAAGTTGCTGAGAGTTTTAATCTGCCACCACATCTCTACTTATTTAGATTCATACCAAGAATGATTGAAGACTGGAATTTTTTAAAAATTGGCAAAACATGATTCTAACATTTATACATATATACAATGAAAGCCTTGTTTGCCACACAGAGTATTATTTCAGTTGACTTCACAAGGGGGTGAGACAGTATGTAATATTGGATGGCGTTACACCATGTGACCTCTCCACAGTGATATCATGAACTGGCTGGCTGAAGGGGAGTGGTGGGTGGCACCAGCCGGGGAACCCCCAATGGAAACCCCAGAGCAGGAAGGCTCAGAGCCAGGGGATTGGTGATGGGATGCTGAGGAGAGGTCAGGGGGAGAGGCTTGGAAGGAAGGCCTGGATGTTGAAGGTGCAACAGGGTTTAGTGAGTAGGAAGTGTTGGTGACAGGGAGCAGTTCAGACTCCGAGGCTGAAGCAGAGGATGGGGGTCAAGAGGCTGCTGAAGAATCCAGGGACTCGCCCTCTCCTGCTGCGACAAGCTCCCCTCCTTCTTGGTCTCCAAGCGCCGATGCTTGCTGAGTTGTATAAAGTTAAACTGACTAAAGAGTTAACTTCACTAACAATGAAGCATTGCGTCTTTCGTATTGACTTGCATCTGACTCTGGCGCTGACAAGTATGAAGTATGATCACATCTTGTTATGTTCTAGGGACAGAACAAAAACATATATATCCGAACACCCCTGGAACCACCCCTGCATGAGCAATTTTACCTCCCAGAGGTGGTGCACTGAACAGGTCTTGCCCCCACAAACAAGGCAGAGAGCTTTTATGCTCTCCTACTTGCATACTGGGCTCTGGGAGGCTCTCTTGTTGCTTCTGGGAGGCTCTCACAAGATCTGAGTTCCCACAAGATCTTGTGAGAGCCTCCCAGAGCTTGGTAAGCAAGGTGGAGAGCTTAAAAGCTATTTGTGTGCCAGGAAAACCCAGAACAAAAGGAGCTTTTAAGCTCTCCAACTTGCATGCAATTAATTTGCAGGCTTACAACTTGCCAGCTTTCAGCTACAGAGGTTGAAATTGTGCTAGTTAATTGTGTGCAAGATGTGATCATACGGTATTACTAGTAATCCAGGGATTGGACCAGCTGCGTGGATACAAATCAAATGTATTGCGAATTGTAGTTCCTATAGGAAAAATCCATTTAGGCAGTTTTGTAAAAATGCTTATTCAGACATAAAAAATCTGTTTTTGGCATCTTATTTTTGGATTTGGAGGTGGTGGTACCCTCCAATTTTCTCACTGGCGTTTCATCTGGTTAGAGAAAAAACCCAAGGAACTTCTATAATCTTTGGTTTACTCTTATTTCTTAGGTCAACAAAGGAACATGGATATAGGCCTCTGAAAACCCATGGAAAGGCATTTTAATATAATTAGACAGGGACCAATCGACCCATATGCTCATTTTCAATGGGTATCATTGGGACACTTTGTATGGTAGGGGGAAGAGGTATAATTTTATCTTAAGTTAATTTCTTATTTATGCAAAACCGTTAAACATTTTTTTTAAAAAAACAACTTCAGAAGCCAAACACTGATAGTAAATTCATCTGAATACACTTAAATGGAAGTTGCACACTTCTTAAAGGAGGATAAGGAGTGTGTGTTAGAAAGACCAGTAACCTTTTTAGTTGGCTCCTGCTGCTCCTTTGCATATCTTAGGGAGAAAGTGAAACTGCATTTCTTGGAAGCAAATCTTTTATGCAGTTTTGTTAGTTGTCGTCTTTAAAGTGCATATATGCATTTCATAAACCAACTGGATAGATTTCCCTTTTGCTGGGAGGTATGGTATTTTGGGTTATGGCTCCAACTTCTGGTCAAGGCAGGTGCAAACGCTTTGGGAAAAAGGCTATAACAACCATGATGCTCCAGTAAGCAGTGGTTCCCAGGGGGTCTGTGGCACCATTCACATAACAAAAAGTACTATAGAGATAGCAAAATTTTCAATAGTAGGGGTCCATGGCTTGGCTTTTGAAACAAAAGGGGTCCACAGAACTTAAGTAATTGGGAACCACTAGTTCGCTCCTCTCTTGGTCAGATTAGGTACAATTGCTTCTCTCCGACTCTCTCTTTGGCTCTTGGGTAGATGGAATTGCTGAAAGAGTGCTCTTCCTTGCTTTTTGAGATTGTTATAGGTGACAGTAACAACGCAGTCTCTAGCCTAGGAGGACTGGGCTGTTGCCTTTGTAGGTTAAAGCCAGCATTTTAAATGTAGAAAGCAATTGCTGTTACACATCCTGAAATATTGTTGTAGTTCCTGGCAGGAGATGGATCATTGCATGGAGTATTAGCTGACCTGAGAAGGCAGGTACCACAGTAATATGCTATGGGAATAACTACTGATTGGAACAGTTTTGCAGTCAGCAGAATCCCTTTTAAGCAAGTCTGGAGCCTGAGTGAACCTGACTTTTCATCCCCATGTAGATATGTGTGTGAGCATGTGCAAATTTAGATCAGGAATCTTATAATCAAATATGAAATAATCAAAACTGCATAATTTTTTTAACCCTTTTCTTGCAGAGCTATATCCATGGGAGCAGTCAAGCCCAATTTGTTGCTGAAACACACATTGTTCTGTTGTTTAGTATCCTTCTTAACAACAAATACTTAAGCTTGAAAGCCTTTCAACCAGATCTAGCCAAAGTTTCCTGGGGTTTGCATCGGTGACTTTGCAACCTTCTAAAGAAATCATTGATCAGATCAAGCAAGTAGTTGCTGAATTCTGATGCCAGTCAGGTGTGGTTATCTGAATGGAAAACCATTGTAACTGCTAGATTTTCATATAGGTGGTAGCCAACTACGTTAAGAGTAGACTCAGTGAAATGAATACTGTAGATCTAAATGTGTGTCCATTATTTTCAGTGGCTCCTCTCTCAGTAGGATTGCTGTTATTTTTAAGGACAAGACATGCTTTAGTATGTTTGTACTTTTACCTCTTGTTATAAACGTTCCTGGGGCTTATCTGTATAAGTTTAAGCTTTTAATTGTAACTTCAAAGTGCCACAGACTGTGCATTTCCCTCTCTATGCTTCTTGAGTTTGTTTCTGTTAGTACAAACTGAAAATGGCATTGCTTGTGAAGTGGGTTGTAATCCATGAAAGCTTTTGACTCAATAAGTTTGTCTTTATAAACTGCTTTGAATTATTTGATTTGGTTAACATTGTGTAACTTATGCTGCCCGCCCCATCCCTAATTCAGTGATTTCCCCCTCCAGCTGCCCTCACTACTGTCTCTTGCTTCCAATTGTGCATAAAAGATAACAAGTCAGGTGGGGTGGGCTGGAATCTAGCAAGGTTTTGAGAATGCAGAGACCTAAAACATAATGACTCTTACCCTTCCTCCTTTTTTCTGTAGTTCAACCCAGAATGCTAGGACAAGGTTGCTGAGTTCAAACTTGGCTCAGTCTTGCAAACTCTGCAACTACAGCAAAAGTTAGGATTTTTCTAAATGCATAGCATTAAGAAACTGGATAGGAATGTGCCGTACTTTTGTTCAGCCTGTTGAAGTGGTTTGGCCTTAAACAGCTTTCTCAGATGCTGGTGTTACTCTTGGGATGGTGCTCCTGCATGAAGCTGCAACTTCTGACCTGGAGGTAATGAAGAGAAAAAGTAAGTACCAGATTTCGCTTCACCTGGCAGGGATGGTAATGTTGGGTTGCAGCGCCATCTTCTGGTCAATCCTGACACCACAGCATTCTCTCTCCTTCCTTCCTTCCTTCCTTCCTTCCTTCCTTCCTTCCTTCCTTCCTTCCTTCCTTCCTGTGCCTGGAATGCAGTGTGCTTGTATTTTAAACAGGATGGGAAAAGCAGGTGTGTGTGTGTCCATAAAAAATATTTTGGTACTTGGGAAAACTTTCCTTTGGCAGTTGTGTTGTCAGTAAGAATAGGTTTGTTACTTATTGCTGGTTTTCTAAGTTGTATGGCCTCTTTTGCTCCTTTTGAGAGTTTTCTCACAAATTAATTCAGTTGGAACTGCAGTTGGACAATCTGCGTGGGTGGCGCTGTGGTCTAAACCACTGAGCCTAGGGCTTGCCGATCAGAAGGTTGGCGGTTCGAATCCCCACAACGGGGTGAGCTCCCGTTGTTCAGTCCCAGCTCCTGCCCACCTAGCAGTTCGAAAGCACGTCAAAGTGCAAGTAGATAAATAGGTACCGCTCTGGCAGGAAGGTAGATGGCGTTTCCGTGCGCTGCTCTGGTTCGCCAGAAGTGCTTGGTCATGCTGGGCACATGACCCGGAAGCTGTCTTCGGACAAATGCCATCTCCCTCAGCCTATAGAATGAGATGAGCGTGCAACCCCAGAGTCGTCTGCGACTGGACCCTAACAGTCAGGGGTACCTTTACCTTTAAGCATTCTTTAAATTTCAGTTTCATGATTGATTATTTTCATGCTGTTTTGGCAAGCTGACTTCATTCTGTGATTTATTTCCTGCAGTAATGTGTATGGCTGGCATCGGTTTGGTGGTCTTCTTCTTCAGTTGGCTGCTGTCAATATTTAGATCTAAGTACCATGGCTATCCATACAGGTATGTATTTTTTGCTATTTAAAATCCCTTTATCCCAATAAATAGCTTTTTAATAGTATTTTGACATCGAGCTTCCCTGAAAAAAATTTGCATAGTTTGTTTGTTTGGATAGTTCCAAACTATTAATAATACTTAGAGAACACTGAACATGGTGTCACTTTTTTCCTTAATGATGTTTTATGAAGTAACACTAATGTCTCAACAAATGAAACTGATCTGTAGAAAACGTAACTTGAAAAAAGAGACATTGCACATACTTTAGTAAACCAAGAAATCTTTAATAAAAAAATACATTTAAATAAATAAATTGATGTTTTATGAAGAATATGAATTACACTGATTTTTTTTAAACAAGCAAGTTAGAAGATAAATAAACCAGATCAAGGGACGCAAGCATGGCCATTCAGAATGCACAATGCAGTACATCACAGGGTTAAAACCACAGGGGGGAATCTTTATTTTATAACCAGACAAAAGACTACCTTTTCTGTTTTGTGATTAAAGAAAAAACATACTTTGTAACTTGGGAAGTATTTGGACAAGTCTCTAAAATATGCTAGGCCTACATGCTAGGCATACAAATGGCATGCACAGGTTCCTGCCTGCAGAGAGATTGTCTAAGTGGGGCTTGGAGGGAGAGGACCCTGAGCTAAGAAATCATCAGCTGCTGTTCTGTTGGCATGTTTTCTGTCACACTTCCCAAGTGATGCCAGCTAAAATTTAAATGCAGCATATTCTGATGCCAAGTACATTTTACATTTCTCTAAAATCAGTGGGTGTTCAATTTGAGTCTTTAGGATTTGTGAGCAATAATTGCTTATTTTGATTTGGTAACCTAAAAAGTGTGTGTTCTCTCTCTCTCTCTCTCTCTCTCTCTCTCTCTTAGCTTCCTAATGAGCTAAAGAATGTTGCATCTCTGCTGTTTTCCTGAAGCGTGAAATATGTGGACCATGCTACCTCCATTTGAAATGAATAGGAATGAGACTGTTGCACACCAAACCAAAGATGTCAAGTGCCTTGACAATTTGCCCTAAAAGTCATGGGGAGTACAGTGGTACCTCGGGTTAAGTACTTAATTTGTTCGGGAGGTCCGTTCTTAACCTGAAACTGTTCTTAACCTGAAGCACCACTTTAGCTCATGGGGCCTCCTGCTGCTGCCGCGCTGCCGGAGCACGATTTCTGTTCTCATCCTGAAGCAAAGTTCTTAACCTGAGGTATTATTTCTGGGTTAGCGGAGTCTATAACCTGAAGCGTATGTAACCCGAGGTACCACTGTATTAAGATACATGCTCTTTTCGCCATTTAATTTAAGTCTAGTATAATTTTGCATCTGGGCTCCTTGTTTCTGATTAGTTTAAAAGAAAACTAAATTTTAATTCTCAGGCGACAGTCCAAAGACCCTCTTTTAGGCAGATGTTAGTGCCTCTGTGTTATGCATAGAGACACCCTGATAATCACAGTTACCACCACTTGTAGTTTAATGAACTACTGGACTTATTCATAGTTCCCCTGCGTTTCAGGGTGGCTTTTAGCGGGGGGGGGGGAGCACAGGGAGGGCTGCTTTGACAAGGGAGGTGCCCCAAAACAGTACAGTGTGCATGTGCAGCTTTCCATGCAGTCTTTTGGGCTGTGGCTTTAACTGTTATATACACTGCATTGTATTTCTGGCACCTACAAGAACTTTACATTTTGCCCATATTTTTCTCCCCCCATTGCAAAGGACTCATTGCAGATGCATTCAGTAGGTCCCTCTTTGTAAGGCAGATGTTCAGCTTCCAAGTGATCTGATTCTATGTTGGGCAAAAGATTCCTGCATTGCAGGGGGTTGGACTAGATGATCGTCATGGTCCCTTCCAATTCTATGATTCTGTGATGACATTTTTAACCTCGGTTTCTGTGCAACATGTTCCAATGCAGAGCCAACTGGGAAGAGAAGTTGACTCCTTTTTTTTTTTTTTTTAGTACATAACTTGAAAGTGACTTCCATAAGCCTTTCTCTCTCTCTCAAACCCTGGGAGTATCTTTCAGTAATACTGCTGTCATAATTATGGGGGGGGGCTGGTTGCATTCATTCGCGTTGTAATCTACACTAGAACTCCTTCAGTACAGTGCATCGTCCTCTTACTCCATGCACAGTTCAAATGCTCATGACTACCAGAAAGTGTTTTCTGATGTTGAAACTGTCATGTGGGCTTGTAGCCCCAGCAGACCTTTGTTCAATAAAGAAGCATCCTCAACAATTTGTGTTAAAAGGTGCACAGCCCATATCTGATTCTCTGTGCAGAGCAGCCTGCTGTATACACATTCACCAGCCAGACAAAGTCAGTGTGGTCAGCCTTGATAGTACCAATTCGCTATTGTGTTAGTCTCCCAAACAAGTGAATAGTTAAAGCTATTCATATTGCCAACTGATAGTACCAATTCGCTATTGTGTTAGTCTCCCAAACAAGTGAATAGTTAAAGCTATTCATAGTGCCAACTTGCTATGGGCTGAAAATAAGGCCCTGTTCCAGTATGTTAATGACATGCCTACTGTTTTAGGTGCTCTCTCTCTCTCTGTGTGTGTGTGTGTGTGTGTGTGTGTGTGTGTGTGGTTTGTCGTGCACAGAACTCTTCAGTGCATTTGACACTTGACTCACAGAGCAGTTTTCACATGGAAGCCTGTCTCTAGGAGTTGATTTCCATTGCCAGTTTGGGGCAACATCTCTTAAATCTGAACATATTGCATGCAGAATGCAGGGCAAAGCATCAAACATGTCTGTGCTTTTGCCATTGCCTTGTAATAATATTTCACTGCTTTTCTTTACCTCTGAATGCAGTGGAAAGGTGTGGGGTGAGAGAGGGAAGATCCCAATATGTATAATGAATCTTAGTTGGTGATTGTAAGCTTTATAAGAAAGCCTCTGTTTCTTCTGCTTTTGCTGCTTTCCCCAGCTCCTTCCATGTTCAATGAAAATGATCTGCTTGGTTCTCATCCTGCAGTCCATGAGGATACTAGGAACTGGATCTAGAAGGAATCTTAAAAGGATTCTAGGAACTGTATTAATTTGGAACTTCTGCTTCTTGGCTTGATAACACTCCTTCAAGGCAGGCCTAATACTGGGTGTGATTGACGACATAGAACAAGAAAAACATAGTGCTTTTTCTCGAAGGGAGTGGGTATGGGGAAGGTAAGGGAAATTATGTTTCTCATTAAAAGTTGAATAGAGGTAACTACTACTATACTGAACAAAGTAGTTTTCTCTTATGCAAATTTGCTATATTTAATTATATTTCAAGTGCCTTAACACCATTAGTCTATTTTTTGATATTGACTCCATAAATATTTTAAAAAATGCATTTTTATACAGCTCACAGCATTCAGTTGTAGCATGGATACTGAAAGAACTACAATGGATTTTGAACAACTTTCAATAAATATTTTACCTACCCCTGCTGTTGTGTTTCTGAACTTTATCACATCTCTAAAACATCATTTGTGGACTACAGTCCACTGTGATGTTTTCCCCTCTGCAAGCCTCAACTTGCTCCAAAGGCTGCATTTTGATAGAAAGATTTTTAGGTGCATTTGACTGAGATGATCTATATCATAAGTGGCCATCATCTAGCTCTATCACATTTGACTCTGACAAGCAATGTCTGCAGCAGTGAGAACATTGTTAGTAGTAACACCATCCAGGACTTCATTCTGGAAAGGTCTGCAGAGTGATCATCCCACTTGCACATTGTACCATAAGATGCACCTAGTTTTTAGAGGAGGGAAACAAGAAACAAGAAAGCAACGCAAAGCCTCTTGAGTGAAGAGGCAGGAGCGCTTCAGCTGCGCTCAAGAGGCTTTGCATGGCTATCCTTGAAGCCAGGAAAGCAAGAGGAATTGGTGCGCACTGATCCCTCTTGCTCTCCTGGCTTCAGTGATAACTGCGCAGCCTGCATTTGCTCCGTAAGATGCACACACATTTCCCCTTACTTTTTAGGAGGGGAAAAGTGTGTCTTATGGAGCGAAAAATACGTTATTTAACGTTTGTTTATTTGATCTATATGCTACTCTTTATTGAAAGGTCCCAGGGCATTGTACAACATTAAGAACAAACTTTTCACAGTGTAATAATAAAAACATAATACAGAGGATAATTATACACAGTATAATCATCATCATCATAACAGCCATAGTCCCCGCATTTAATAGACCATAGATTGAGAGGCTTTCCCTCATATTCTCCTACAGTAGTTGAGCAGAGTGGAGGGATCACTAACACCAAGCCCTGGTAGCAGCAAGGCCCCTGAAGTCAGCTGTCGCCTGACTGTTGGGATTCCTGTCTGCTAACTTCCAGCAACAACAAAACCCAAAGCCTTCATTGAACAGCATAAGGGATGGAGTGGGTTCCTACCAACCCACTTTGGGAACCACTGTGCTAACCACCTCTAAAGCGCTTCTCTGCCTTTGACAGTTGCAGAAGATGTGGTGTCCCTGCTACGTCTTCATGCTACACAGCTTCATCTGTTGCATAACCATGTGACTTGCAGAGAATCCTATCTAGAACACGCAAGTTGACAACCTATCTAGCCTTAGGAACTTCTGACCACTGGCCATGTGGAAAGCTGCACCACTACGGCCTCCCCAGGGAATGTTGTTGGCATCTCTCGTGAGCAGGGGTCTGCAACCTAAGGTTCACAGGCCACAAGCAGCCCACGGGGGTCGTTTAAACAGTCCCCTAGCTGCCTGCTTGGCAAGTCCCCGTGTGCTGCACTAAACCAGCACAGTGCAAGGACTCGCTTTTGTAGTGCTGGAAATTGCGCATGCGCAGACGCCGGAAATCGCGGGCACGCGTGCTCATGCTCCAGCCCACAGATGGATCTCCGCTAGAGTGAACTGGCCCAGGCAAGGTAAACCTTGCCGAGCCCTGGTCTTGAGATACAATGGAAGAGTGTGTCTTTGGGGGTAAAGTCAAGGCAGTTGGAGAGTCACAGCACCTGACATGGCTGTAGAGACTGATACAGGAGAGGAAGGTTTTATTGCAGATGATGGCATCCGTTTTTGCTGAAAGACCACCTGAATATATGCTACCCACTGGCTTGTCCTGGGCTGGAAGGACCATATGAGAACTTTTCATCTCAGTTGTGTTTTGTTCAAGCAAATAAGGTCTTCCAGGGCTCTGGCCTACAGTGATGCCCCGCAAGACGAATGCCTCGCAAGATGAAAAGCTCGCTAGACGAAAGGGTTTTCCGTTTTTTGAGCTGCTTCGCAAGACGATTTTCCCTATGGGCTTGCTTCGCAAGACGAAACGTCTTGCGAGTTCTTGCGAGTTTGTTTCCTTTTTCTTAAAGCCGCTAAGCCGCTAATAGCCGCTAAGCCGCTAATAGCCGCTAAGCCGCTAATAGCCGTGCTTCGCAAGACAAAAAAAACGCAAAACAGACTCGCGGAACGGATTAATGCTGTTTGGTCATGATTCACTGCAGGCTGTTTCCAACAGCTCAGCCCTGGGAAGAAGCATGGGGATTGTTTGCAGCAATTATATTTTGTAAATGTCAAGGTTGAGCTAAGCAGGTGTCTGAAGCGCATCCAAGACAAGGATGCAACACAGCTTCAGCTGAGCCAGGAAAGCCTTGTTGCTCAGGCAAAGCCCCAGACTCAACAGCGTATTTCTGTAGCACCTTCCTGTTGGAGAGGGTCCCCAAAGGTGGTCCAGAGCCCCAAAGAAGTGCATTGCTGGGATCGTGTAATAAGCAAAAGACCCCTCCTGTGCATAGCGAACCAAATACGAGCCCCAACACTGATGACGCCTTTCCAGCCGTTAATGATATTGTCAGCCTAACACTGCTTTAAAGTTCCTTATCAAGGAAGTATAAAGATCAGATACGGGGAAAATAATCCATCTGGTATATTTCAATGAAGAAAAAGCTTACCTGTGCCTGATGATGTCCTGGAACATTTAGTACTTGCAAGGACGCTGGAGAACAGTGTGTGTGCTCACCAAACACCCTTCCAAGGACAGGTAATACTAGAGCTGTTACAAGTGCTGCTTGCTATATCTTAAGAGCATTGGGGTACCTTTTTCAGCCGGAGGGCTGCATTCCCTCATAGGGACCCATGTGGGTAGTGGTAGGTGGTGCAGTAGGATACATTCCAACCATT